TAAAGACCCCGTCAGGGAAACATCGACACTGAGCTGAGGGAGCGAATGCTGATACTAGTTCGTGTGTCGTGGTTTGACCACATGCCCTCTGCAGCTGTGTTCACTTAAATAGTACACGATCTCTGCAAACTGGAGACAATACGTAGGAGTTGTAGACACACAGGAAGGAAGCCTGAGGGCTGGTGTCAAAGGAGGACAGGGAGGTTGACTGTATTGACAGACTTGTATGAGACGTGTTTTTCCCACTGTCTCCTGAGACGAGACAGCACCAGACTACAATGATCTACTTGGCTAATTATATGATTCTGATATTGACGATGATGACAATGATGATGAATGCTGTCTGTGTTACAACATTCAGGTTGAACCTTGGGACGTCCGATAATATCGGCCGACCAATATCATCGGTCCGATATTAGCATATTTTGTAGTATCTGTAGGAATCGTTATCAGTTTTTCCTTCGATAATAAAAACATGATAACGCAACGCCTGTCCCAGCGACAGACCAGCCTGATGCCTCCGTGAAGGAAACTCCGATTGAATGGTAGATTGCAGTGGTGCAGCACGGCTGTGTAAACCCGCTGACTGAATATAGAGTCCGTTGTTGGCCTGGTGTTTTAGAACTAATTTCTCGCTCCCGGAGACAAAAACACCTTTTGCACCGAAGCTCCTGTATTTGTGGAACGTCTCACACACGTCTCACACTAGAAATCAATAGTAACATCCATTCTCCTGGTGTGTATAGAACATTTCATCTGTGTGTGTGTTTGTGTGTGTGTTTGTGCTCCATCTTTTAGTCCAGCTCATGATATGTGCTGGAGGACTTTTTCTCATCCTGCTCTTGATTGCACGCCTGACAATAGCAGTTAATGACAGCCCAAAGTGGCTGCACTGTTTGACTAGTGGGGGATGGGAGAAAGCTTATGTGTGTGGGTGTGTGCGTGCACGTGTATGTGTTTAATAAACCTGTGTGTAACGTTGCCAGATTTTGCCTCTATTAAGCTCTGAGCCCTCTCCAGGAGCAGCGTTTGAGTGAGAGTGGAGCGGTCGGGCCTGCTGACATCACAGAGAGACAGAACAAAAAGCTTTCAGCAGGTAGTGAATGTCGTCAATTACAGACAAGACGTGCATTTCAATGAGTCATTCAGACAGGATAGGCAGGGGAAATGGACGGGGTGTACTGTATTAACAAAAACAGAATCAATAAAGCGTCAATGCCAGTTTGAAAAGGAGGGGATTCCCTGAATTGGCAGGCTGCTGTTTGATCCGCAGCTTTTGAATTTGGCGTCAAGTGAAAAGGAATTAATAAACTGAAGAAACAGACACAACAAGGTGGGCAACCAAGGAGGTGAAACGTCACTTTATAGGAGAGAGTTGTTTATAAATACAGCAGTCCCTCGCTGTTTTGCGGTTCATCTTTCGCGGATTCACGACTTTGCGGGTTTTTGAAACTGTATATATAAAATATACTGTATCCTGGATTTGGATCTGAAAGAGATGTCACAGGAATGGGACGACGATATGGTTCAATCGGTCCAAGTATTATATTAATGAAAGTTTTCACTCTGTATCTGTATTTTTTTTGTATTATATTAATGAATATATTGGTTACGTAGGTGGCAGTATAACCTCCCAGTCCCCTGTTGTGTGTCAAGTGTGCGCGTGTGCGTGTGCAGTGTCACAGTTAAACCTCTCTGCCCTCTCAGTCAGAGAGCAGCATGATTTAAAACCAAGGAATCCCAGCCAGGGCTGAGGCGACGCCTGCTGCTCCCACAGCATCAAACTTTAATGAGGACAAAACTACTACACATCAGTTAAACAGCCTCAGAGGTCTGTCAGAGTATTGACTCTGCTCTCAGTGTCAAGACCACACACACAGAGACACAGTTCTCACGTGTTTCATGAGGCCTTCACATACGGATATATTACCTAGCCCCTTCATCTAATCTCAACTATTAGACATATTACAAATACATTTAATCTGACCCTCAGACTAGTGCTTCCATCAGGCGCCTCAAAAACAGACTTTGACTCAGTGTGGCCCTGCAAAATGTCCCCATAAAGACAGGTGTCCCCAGAAAAATTGGATTGTCCCCACAAGTGTAGCCACACCGGGACGACGCAGACACACACTTGACAACAGAGACTGTATACACACATTATTGAACAAATACACACCAGTCAACTCACACCGTCCATTTCAATGCGTTTTAAGCCACGCACCCATCATTAGAAAGACTTCTCAGTGGATTAGGTGTGATAGATATCGATGATTATCTATCACCTCACATGTGATCGATAAGCGACATGGCCCTTCAGCACTCGCTGACACACACTGTACTGCCTCGTAATATAGTAGAACAAATAACGGTAGGCTTTAACGAGCTTCTATCGTTCAGCGTCAGGTACCGGGTCGCGACCATATACTAAACTCTTTATGTATAGTGTGGTTGTTTTTCTGATGGCTGAGGGTTTTTTTTCACTGGCAGGCAGTGAAAAATCGATGGCATCGCTTCGTGCCAGCCTCGGGCCCTGCAGGTCCCCGCGGACCGGCTCCGTTTATTGTGCTCAAAAAAGGCAATTACAATGTTAATGTGTCGCAGCAGGAGAGTGAACCCGAAAAGACGTCGTCAGAGGTTGATGGAGAGTCGAGTCAACGTGGGTTAACAGCGAAAAGGCGTCTGGGGAGCGTTTGATATCAAACACCGCACGATTATCAGAAATATAAACATTTAGATTAAAGTAGATTTGTCTGTAGATATATGCATGGACATATATGTGTGTGTGTGTGTGTAAATCTATAAATAAATATGTGTATATAGATGTTTTTATAGATAGATAGATAGACAGATAGATAGATAGATAGACAGATAGATAGATAGATAGATAGA